CTGAGCTACACCAGCCAGGGCCCCATGGCATTTTTTTTACAGATGTAGAACCCTAGCTGGTATAGTTCAGTGGATTGAGTGCCAGCCTGTGAACTAAAGGGTTGTTGGTTTGATCCCCAGTCAGGGCACATGCCTGGGTTGTGGGCCAAGTCCCCAGTTGGGGTTGCACAAGGGGGTAACCACTCATTGATGTTTCCCTCTCTTCCCTTCTGTCTAAATGTGAATAAATAAAATCTTTTAAAAAATGTAGAAAAACCAACCCAAGATTTATATGGCACCAAGAAAGATCCCGAATAGCCAAAGAAACCCTGAGAAAGAAGAACAAAGCAAGAGGGATCACACTTGAAATAACCTGATTTCAAGCTATACTATAAAGCTATGGTCATCAAAACAGTATGGTCAGCATAAAAACAGACAAATAGACCAATGGAACAGCATTAAGAACCCAGAAACAAACCCAAGCATATATGGTCAACTAATATTTGACATGTGAGCCAAGCCTACTCCATGGAGAAAAGATGGTCTCCTCAATAAATTGTGCTGGAATAATTGGACAGTCACATGTAAAAAAATGAAACTGGACCTATATCTTATACCACAGACAAAAAAATTAACTCCAGCCCTGGCTGGTGTAGCTCAGTGGATTGAGCACGGGCCTTCAAACCAGAGAATCACAGTTCAATTCCCAGTTAGGGCACATGCCTGGACTGCAGGCTAGGTCCCAGCAGGGGACACAAGAGATGCAACCATACATTGATATTTCTCTCCCTCTTTCCTTCTCTTCCCCTCTAAAGATAAATAAATAAAATTTAAAAAATTAACTCTAGATGGGTTAAAGATTAAAATGTGAGGTCTGAAACATGAATTATCTCAAAGAAAACACAGAAGTGAAACTCCCTGACACTGGCTAACAAAATAAAAAAATAAAGAAGAGGGATTACATCAAATTAAAAGGCTTCTGTAACAGTGAAAGAAACTATCAATAAAGTGAAAAGACAACCTATGGAATGGGGGAAAAACTGCAAACCACATTATCAGATAAGGGGTTAATAACCAAACTTACAGCTCATACAGCTCAATGGCAAACAAACAAACAAACAAAAACAACTCAATTTAAAGAATGGGCAAAGGACCTGAACAGACATTTCTCCAAAGAAGATTTACAGAAGGCCAACAAGTACATGAAAAGGATGCTCAACATTACTAATTAGCAGGGAAACGCAAATTAAAACCACAATGCAAGAAAACCACACCTGTTAGAAGAGTCATAATAAAAAAGAGGAGATTAACAAATGCTGACATGGATGTGAAGAAAATGGAACCCTTGTGCACAAATTGGTAAATTGTGCAACACTTGTGTATCTGTAAATTGGTGCAGCCACTATGGAAAACTGTATGGAGGGTCCTCAAAAAATTAAAAATAGAACTACCATATGATCCAGCAATTCCATTTCTGGGACTATATTCAAAGATAATGAAAATGCAAACTTGATAAGACATCTGCATCCCCATGATCACAGCAGCATTATTTATAATAGACATGGAAACAACCTAAGTATCCAGGGAGTGATGAATGGATTAAAAAAGTTGTGGCAAAAAAAAAAAAAGTTGTGGCATGTAAATTATTATTCAACCATAAAAAATGAGAAAATACTACTATTTGCAAAAACGTGAATGGATGTTTCTTTTTAAAAATATTTTATTTATTTATTTTTACCGAGAGGAGAAGAGGAGAAAGAGAGGGAGAGAAATATCAATGTGTGGTTGCCTCTTGCACGCCCCATGCTGGAGAACTGGCTCGCAACCCAGGCATGTGCCCCAACTGGGAATTGAACCCGTGACCCTTTGGTTCACAGTCCGGCACTCAATCCACTGAGCCATACCAGCCAGGGCACATGAATGGATCTTGAAGGCATTATGCTAAATGAAATGTCAGAGATAAAAAATCAAATACTGTACAATAGCACTTATATGTGGAATCTAAAAACCCCAAACTCACAAGAAAAAGAGAACAGAGTTGTGGTTAGAGGGATGGGGTTTATGAGTGGGGGGTAGTGGGGGGAGGGGGAATTGGAGGAAGGTGGTCCAAAGTTACCAAGTTCCAGTTAAAAGAGAAATAAGTACTAGGGATGTAATGTACAGCATGATGATGTAGCTATTACTGTTGTATGATATACAGGAGAATTGTTAAGAAATTTGAAGAATTCTCATCAACAGGAGAAAAACTGTTTCCCTTTATTTTTCTTTTCTATTGTATTTATATGCCGAACCTATTTGGCAATTATTTCACAATATATGTAAATTAAATGACCATGGTATAGGCTTTAAGCTTATACAGTGATGTATGTCAATTATGTCTTAATAAAACTGGGGAAGGAAAAGTTGTATTTCTGAGTCCTTTGCATAGTGGCCCTTTGCTCTAGTGGCCTTAGTGATGAATGGGACTTTAGGCTAGGTCCTTTAGGCTTTGCTCCTTCCCAAGTCATCCTGTAAGAAGCTGCTTATTTTTCCAAAGGCCAGCCTGGAGTGACTTTCAATTATTTTATTCATTTATAGCTTTCACTGTATGTTAACATAAAGTGGTATCGCCCTTCCTAGGCCCCATGCTGACAGCAGTCACAGGTGACCCATTTTGGATTTGTGGCACCTGTATGAAAATGTTTGGTTTGGCTTGACGTGGCTATTTGGTCTGAAGGATTCTAGCTCCCAGCAAGCTGCTGAGAAGTTCAGCCATTTTGTCGTTTTCCTCAGGCTTTTCTAGGGGACCCTTCAGTATGGGCCATCCGTGAGTGATGCAGATCTGTCCAGGCCTGTACACAGCAACTGTCCCCCTAATCTGTTGTAATAGAAATCTACTATTATAAGTGGTCAGAGCCTCTGTGGTCCAGTCAGAGCTCAGAGCTGCTTGTTTTAGCAACAGAAATACAGATTGAGTCCCTTTTGTGATTCCATAGCTTCAGACTTACGTGAACTCTGGTCAAACTAAGAACAACCTCCACTCCACTTTCTTGTGATAGATTCAAGGTAGAGACCAAGTTTTACTCAGTTTTGAATAATGAGCAGCTTTGGCCCATGGAAAGTATTCCATATAATCTCTATAACATTCAAAGTCTCTGCATATCAATTAGATAAACAGCCTGAATTTCTTACTGGTCTTCTGAGAGGTGGGTTAATAGGCGTTTCTTGGGAATTTTGTAGTCAATTGGGATGGGAAAACTCTGGTTTAAATCACAGGTAAATTAAACAGGATTCTTTGCCTCAATCCTAATCAGAGGCTTTAATATGCTACAATGTGTATCTCCAAGAACGTGGTCATCAAATGCAGAGGGTGTCATGACTAAGTCCTTTTTATGGAGAGCTTGAGACTAGGGTTCCATGGAATACACTTTGAGAAATATTAATCTAGTCTAATTATAGTTTTACTGATGAGGAAATGGTGGCAAAAAAAAGTTGGGGGGGATTGACTGGTGGTTCCATCTCAGAACCTCTGTCTTCCAGACCAAGGCTCCCCCCCCATCTAAACATCTAACCAAAGGTACAAATCAACTATAGATTCTTGGGAATCATTCTTAGGATTTAAGAAAAATATTTCAATTTAATGTTGAGGGGTTACAGTGATGTGTGTGGTGGTGGGGGGTTGTTGAGGAGAAGGGAGTAACAGTGGAAGCCATTGAAAGCAAAACCCAGGTTCAGAAGATCAAGAAATTTTTGGCTTCAGAATACAGTCCACTTGTTTTTTCTTGCTGTAGAAGACACTAATGAAGACCAGCTGTACTTCTGTGAAGAAATGCTCCACCAGGTCCTTTTTAGAATATTGTAACCTGCAGGAGGATACAGGTTACAGGTGTGAACACCTGGGACTTCAACCCTCCCCAATTTGCCTCAAATTGACCAGCACATTTCAGAAGCCCTACAAAACAGATTTGTTTATTCCGTCCAAACAGTAAGTACACTAAAATTTATTTGACCCCTATTATATGCGAGGCCTCTGCAAGACACTGGGGATTTCAAAGAGGAATACAGCATAATTCCTGTTCTGAAGGGATTTTCTATCCGGTAGGGAAACAGATATGGCACAGGTAGGGAGCCAGACCTTGACAGGGCTGCACTGACAATGTTAACCATATCCCAGGAGCCGATGGAGGGCAGTGTTTGCAAAGCCTTTTAATGCCCATTCTGCTGCGAAGCCTGCACACCTTAGCTTGAAGGCCATGCACAGCTAAGGAAGATGTGTTGCGTTTTAAAGAGAGAACCCTGGTCACAGAATGTTCTGTGACTCTATTTCCCATCATCAACCCCCCTTCCTGCTGTCCTTCCTTGGTGATAATCTCCCGTTGTGGCCAACCTCTCACACATCACCAAGGGCCTTGGTCCTGGAAGGGGTCCTAAATCTGACCCTACTCTCCTGCCCCTCACCACCTGTGATGACTTCATCACCTCCACACCCCTGAACCAGGAGACTGACGCCAGCAGTGCGGGTAGGTTCTGCCTGGGTTCTTGTAGACTAGGCCAAAGCAAGTTTGCGACGGCTCCCACGCTGCCAAAAGAACCAGCGTCACAATGAACAAGCATAATAGTGAACACAGGGGCCTTCAGGAAGCCACTCTTAAATTTAAATCAGTCAGGATCCAGCAAGTCTCTTGACAGACGCGGTATTAACGACTTCCCTCAGCCTCCACATTTACCGAGTACAACTATCAGGCAACACGCACAGGAACGCCAGTGTGGCTGCCCCATTTCACCGACGAGGATACGGGGTCCCGCGCACGCAAACCACGCTGTCCCAAATCGTACCATCCAAAACTGAGACAGTGACCACACACCGAAGCTTCCCCGGGGGCGCAACGGGAATGAGAGACCGCACGGAACTTGCGCATTCTTTGCGGTCCGCTGGCAGTCACTGGGGAGGGGCGAATCCGGGCGCGGCTAAAGCGGCACTCGGCGGAAGTGGTAGGCAGACGCAAAAACGAAGCAGATGTCTCCGGAAGTCCCGCCTATCTTCATAAGCTGCCCCGGAAGTGTAGTGTAGTAGCGGGCGCGATGGCTTCAAGGTTACTTCGCGGAGCTGGAGCGCTGGTCGCCCAGGCCCTGAGGGCTCGCGGTCCCAATGGGGTAGCTGCGGTGCGCTCAATGGCGTCTGGAGGTACTAGTCCCGCCGATCGCGTCCGGGCCTGGAGCAGTGGTTCTCCCCGGGTCGGGGATCCTAGTGCGACCCAGCGGGCTGGACTTTCAGTTCCTGTGAGCCCCAGTGACCGTCCCCGAGCCCCGCGGGGCTCAAGCTCAGCTGGCATTTCCCTGTTAGTCCCGGCCGCCGCTGCAGCAGCCCACCTAATTATCCCTGCTGCGAAAGAATTATAAATGGAGGTGCCGGGTGACCTTGTGGGGGCGGGTGCTGCAAGCGCGATGGGGAGGGGTCGAAACTCCCTTCAGAGCCGCGCAAAGTTGGACTCTGATTTATGTTTTTATTTTAAAAAAGTGTCGAAAAATTGGTCTTGGTGGTTGGGGGAAGAAAAGGTTTCCTGGGTGCTGTCGCTTTTGGGGATCGTGACTCTGGTACTTAAGGGACAGTGGGTATGGGTAACCTTTAGAAACTTGCGAGCCCACTTAAACTACGCAGAAATTTACTTTTGTGCATTTTCTGCCTTGATTCAGCCGACATCGTAATTCATGTATCTTTCTTTAGGTGGTATTCCTACAGATGATGAGCAGGCAACTGGCCTGGAGCGGGAGGTCATGATGGCTGCGCGGAAGGGACAGGTGAGGAGAAACTGCTTTCTGTGTCTTTGTACCTCATGGCCTTGGTTGGGACCAGAGCACTCTGCTCTGGGAGCGCTTGATCCCGGAAACCTGAGTGTGGGAACAGTAATGCTAGCCCCTGGAGGGTAGAGGTCCTCTGGTATGATGGCTCAATTCTTGTTTTTTTCAGGACCCATACAATATGCTAGCCCCAAAGGCAGCTTCAGGCACCAAGGAAGACCCTAATTTAGTCCCCTCTATCTCCAACAAGCGAATAGTGGGCTGCATCTGTAAGTACCTCACCACTATTTTCTTATTCATTGGTTTAATATACACTGCTGTACAGGATGTCTGTAAGCTGCTTCAGATCTTCTGTGTCTGTAAAGAGCATATGTTTGTAAATAAGTTGTTCTAAGGGTCTTAGCCCTTTCCTCTCTTCTTATGCCTGAGTAGGTCACCCTTACTGTCAAGAGGCTCACTGGAGATGTGACATGAGGAGTATTCATCTAGAAAATACTGTTTTCTCTCTGCCAGATATCATTTTAGGTACTAGGATTACATATCAGAATGACCCTGCTTTGGGATTCTCCATAGGCAGGGGAAATGTTAGAACCTATATTGACTTCGATATATGGTCACTTTACTCACAGGTAAACTCAGGCCTCAGTTTCTTCATCTGGAAAATGGGGAGGATAGCTTGAACTGATCTCTTAAGATATCAACCGTAACTTTGTGTCTTGGAGGTATCAGAGAAGAGATGTTGAAAGTCTCCTCTCTTCTAGACTAGATGGCCTTCAACCACTTTTTTCCTTTTAGGTGAAGAGGACAACAGTGCTGTCATCTGGTTCTGGCTGCACAAAGGCGAGACCCAGCGATGCCCTAGCTGTGGAACCCATTATAAGCTGGTGCCCCACCAGTTGGCCCACTGAGCCCCCGCAATAAGTCACTCACAATGTGCTGTAAAGTTTCTTGTCTTCGATAAAGACTGGCCATTGCTTTGGCTCCTCCCAGAGTTGGCTGGCCTTATTTCTGTGTTTTTGGAGGGATATGGGTAATTCTTACATCAGGAATAGCTGTTACTACTAGCTTGCTGTCCACTTGTGTGCACTGGGATTGACAATCCCATAACGCCACGATTGGGACTACCTGGCACGGGGGAAAGCATGTGCTGTGGAGTCAGACTGATTGGACTTGTAATACTGTCTCCATCATTTAACTTTGTCACTGGGGACATGTTTTCTGAGAATACATTATAGAGAGCCTGGCAGATGGTAGGTCCTTGAGTATTGTTATAAAGACAGGGTAAACTTGTAGGATTTCTGGGGGGCTTTGAGGTTTTGAGGAACCCAGGTTCAAAGCAACAGTTAGTGGTGATGTCATCACCACAATTCAGAATATGGGACAGTTCCAGAAACCAAAGACCAGGTTTTATCAACAAATACATTGCAAGGAGAAAAAGAGGGAATACCTACAGAATAAAGTGGATGTGATAGAGCGAGCAAGTACAGTGGTGAAACTTGTTTGGATATTGATTTGAAAAACCTACTGTAAAGAAAAAGAAATTGGAATAATTTGAACTCTGGATATTTGATGTTTAAAAATTTATTACATTTTTAGATCTTCATTTTTTTATCCTTTAGAGATATATTCTGGGGGTACAATATGCCTGGGATTAGCTTTAAGACTGGGGAGAAGAGGAAGAAGTGGTTTAGAGTGTGATTGATCCCTCATATCCAGGTCATTGTTCTTTTTGCTTTGGTGTGTTTGAACTTTGCCATAATAATGAAACAGCACCAAAAACAGAGTTTTGTCCATATCTCCAATCCCAACACCTAAGGTTCTTCTAGCCTTGCCAGCTTCTCACCTGTAGCTTTGTTCCAGCAGTGAGAAACCCAGCAGGGCCAGAGCTCTAACCATATCATCCCTGCCAAAAGAGGGAGGAGGGAGGGTGCTGCATAGTGCTTGGCTTAAAGGATGGGATTTTGACAGACATGGGAAAGCCATTCCTAGCACGGAGTGGCATGAGTAGCAGCTGGCAGACAAAGCAGGGCATGGTGATGCAGAAGCCTAAAACGGAAGAGACAGATCCCAAAGGGCCTGAATTAAATGCAACAATGTGTAATTCATGAAGGTGATCTCACCAGGCAGTGGAGAACTGCTCGACATTTTGGATTAGGAACTGGCAGGACCAAGGCTCTCTGGGCTTTAGATCCAAGAGCAGATGGATTGGTGGGGAAAATGGAGCTATGATCTTGAGCCAGGGTGGTAGTGGCCCTCATGGAAAAGAAATGAGGGGTAGGAAAGGTATTACAGAAGCAAAAGAACTTGGTGACTGACAGAATGTGGAGGAGGTAAGGAAGAGGGAGGACCCACACTAACAGGGCTCCTCCAACTTGGATGGTTGGGAGGAAGTAGTACAAGAACAGAACCCCAAAGGGTTCTCTGTAAATTCTCTTTCCCCCTTGAGGGCAGCTATGGGCTTAACTGCTTTCTGAACACACAGGCTCACGTAATGCCCTTTGAAGACAGTCCAGCCAGAGTAACCTCTCCCCTTCCACACAATCTCAGTTCTGGGCTCTCAGCTCCACTCACTGCAGTACCTTCAACACTCAGCTGTGACAGCCACCCTCCCATAGCAGGCTGCCCGTCACCCAGTACACAGCTAAAAGTCTGCAAGGCCCTTCCTGTGCAGGCTTCACTCCCTAACTTTTTTGGTGTATCTTGCATTCTAACTAGAGATCACTTTCTCTATCCTGCTGACCTAGTGTCACTCAGGTCTGTGCCTTCTGTCCCACTGGTCCCAGGTGTCTCCTCGAGCTCTTACCTCTGCCCAGAACACCCTCCCCTCCCTCACCTGGTTAACTCTTCCTGGACCCATGCAAGCAAGCCTGCCCCACCTGCTGGGTTAGAAGCCCCTCCTTTAGGCCCTGCGACTACTGAAACGGCCTGTTCTTCCTCCCCTGACCTGTATGTTTTGGGGGGCAAAGATATGTTTACCATTGTCACAAACACATGGACCCTCCTGGGTATACTGTAGGTATTCAAATACTTGATGAAGGGAGGAAGGGCAGACACTCTGGTGTCTCCTTCTCACTGCTCCATCCATGGCCCTTCTTATCTTCAGCTTTTACCTTCAGAGCCCAGCTTATTGACAGCCTTTGCCATCTCCCCTTATCTCTCTCCTTCCTCACTTGTCTGGACCCTGAGTCTGTATCTCTGTGGGTTCATCAGCCTTTGCCACCTGTGAGCGGGGCAGCAGAGGTGTTCCAACAGGTGAGGATGCAAAGGCCCCGAGCCCAGCCCCACCTGCCAGGAGGCCTTGTCTAGGAACAAGGCAGAGGAAGGCAGCTCTGTCCTCTGCTGCTCATGAAAAACCGCCGAAAGTGGGCAACGAGCTTGGGAAATTCCGCCACCAGGCGGAGAGCCGGCCTCCTGGGGCCTCCTGGGGCCTCCTGTGCCACTGCCCCACCAACCACTAAAACCCTCAGCACTGAGCTAGAGCTGGTGCCATGCTGCATTCTTGCCTGTCCTTTGTTTCAAAGTCGCCAGGGGTGGCTGAGCAAACAACAGCATAAGAACCACAAGAAAAGAGAGCCACACAGTGGGCCTTGTCCATATTATTACTATAATGGTTTACAAAAAAGATTTTTCAGGCAACTGGGTAAAATTACTGTACATATCTGGGAGAGGAAGGTGGGGGGCCTGTCCCAGGGTAACGAAGATCCGAGAGAGGAATTGTGCCCCCTCAACCCTCAGTCTGACTCCTGATTAAGTGGCTTCCCCTCCCTCAACAAATGAAGACCATTAACTCTTCCCCATCCAGGGTACTGGCTTAAAGGAGAAGGAGCAGCAAGTCAATGAAGTGCTTTCAAGGGGAGAACACAAAAGACTGTGGCTGACTCAACCCCCCCCCCCACACACACACACATACACTCTGCTCTGGTCCAGCCCTGGGCCAGAACCCCCCACTGGGGAGGGCAGACTGCTCACTACTCAGCCTGCACCAAGGCATCTGCTCAGGAAGACAGGGACAGAGTGTGGAAGGTCAGGGACGCCCAGGAGTGGCTGGCCCTTTGTGCTTCCCTGTCAGATCAGGAAGAGGTGGTATGAGAAACAATGATACGCCAGTGGGGAGCTGCTGGCTGCCCCCTCCTCTAACCCACTCCCCAAGGCTTGTTACACAGGCATCCAGGCACTCAGCTCTGGGAGGGACCCTGTCAGGAAATGGGGACTTTTGGGTGTCTGGCCTTAGAGCTCAGGGAAGCAGCCCCAAGGGTTAGAGCCAGGAACCATAGGTGTAATTAGCCCAGCCAAGGGGAACAACCAGAACCACCCGAGGCCGGGCTCCTCAATTCCTGTATTCCAGCTCCAGACGCCCACCCACGCGGCTAAACATTACCATGTCTGTGTGTGCATGCGTGCGTGTGTGGAGGGCAGTGCTGCAGGGAAGTGCTGTTGCACCACCTGCCTGGGTTCAGGGCATGCAGGGGACCCCACGCCTGGTGCGTGAGCCCAGCCCAGGAGGGGTTAAGGGCTCTGGCTCCCCTTTCCCACCATTCTCCCAAGCATTGCCCCTTCCTCCTTGGGCACTAGAAGGTTTTGCGATGAATAGCACGGGCGCCATCTTCTTCGTACTCTTTCTTGGAGACCCACATCTTCTTAAAAGTGTCTAGTGAGGCCAGGATGGAGCCACTGTGAGGAGGGAGGGGTGGTGTCTTGTGGATGGCCACCCTCCCTGGGTACTCAAGGTTCTGTTTCCTTCACTTGGGAGGGAAGTCTGTCCACCTCCACCTGGCCTGGGCCAACCCTGGGAGAAGTGTCCAGGGCAAAATGTTTTCCTCCCAGAGCCCTCCCTGTGAGCTCTGCCTTACCCGATCCATGTGGAGTACAGCCGTTCCTGAGGCGCAGAGATCTAGAGGGAGCAAGGGGTAACTAAGTGACTGTCCCCACACAGCAGTCCCTGTCCCAGCCTTGGGGGTGATTCCTGCAGGGCACAAGGCCAGACAGCTAGTGCATCAGCTGGGAGCAGGGAGAACGGGCAAATGGGAGAAGCGGCAGGGCTGGAAATGAGAGGGCCTCTGGAGGTGGCACGTGTCCTCTCCTGGGTCATGGTTGCCAGGGACCCGATGCCCCACGGGCACTCTCCACAGCCTCACCTTGATTTTGACGTCCTTTGGAGCAAGCTTCTTCACTTCACTTAGTAATCGGTCACCAAAGCCTGTGAACACAAAGCTGGCTAGCCTGGGGTCCCCATCTAGCCCCCCTACCACTAGCTCTCCCACATCCCACCTGGTGCTCCCCAGTTGCTACCCTCCTTTCAGCAGTTCTTTCCAGGATTAAGGGTAGGCATAGCCACTCCTGGGGCAAAAAAGACCTAGCACCAGGCCTACAGGGAGGAGATATGAGCTGCAACCCCAAAGAGAGGAGACATGAGATGGAACCCCAAGTCACAGGTCTGCTGTCCCCCCATGTTCTTCATCACCCAATGTGCCAGCAGTTAAAACCCACCAGAAGCAAAATCAGAGGCTAATGACAAACCAGGAGAAAACATCTACCGATGTGGTAGATGGGCAAAGATCCCCCACGGTGTTGGGCTGGTGGCGGGTACAAGCTCTCAGGAGAGAAACCTTGGCAGGACCCACCAAATAACAAAGGCACATCTGCACTCTGACTCAGCAGTTCTACTCTAGGATTTACATGTTAGTATATTCTCAGCACGCAAAATGACAGTGCAGGAGAGTACTAATTAGAAATGACCGCCACTCCCTCAAAGGCCATCAGCAGGATGATGGCTGCCTGGCACTTCCATTTAGTGGAACACTGTACGGCCAGATGAGAGAACTTACACGGGTAGGAAAAGACCTTCCAGATATGATGCTAAATGAGCCATACATGGTCAGGACCCGTACGACATGCTACAGTTCGTGTGCACATGGGGGTGGCGCACATTTGTTACATGTGCTGGGAGGCCATCCATAGCTGCCTGAGAAAGTGGCAAACCCATGCGGAGGG